AACGCTCTCACATGCCACTCAACTGTGTACTTAAAAATGGCTAAGATGCCCGGAGCGTGGTGGCTGACACCTGTAATCCCAACACTTTGGGAGGTCGAGGCAGGTAGATCCCCTGAGATCAGGAGTTCGAGACCAGCCTGGCCAACCTGGAGAAACCCCATCTGTGCTGAAACAAAAACAAAATTAGCTGGTGGCGCACACCTGTAATCCCAGCTATTCGGGAGGCTGAGGCAGGAGAATTGCTTGAACCCGAGAGGCCCAGGTTGTGGTGAGCAGAGATTGCCCCAGTGCACTCCAGCCTGGGCAACAAGAGCAAAACTACGTCTCAAAAATAATATGAAATAAAATAAAATTTAAAAAAATGGCTAAGATGGTATTTTATGTTATGTCTTTTTTACCGCAATTTGAAATAAACAAAGAGAGGCCTTGGGAGTGTGGTCACGTCGCCTGCTCCCCGGCTGCAGTCACCAGGAGCCTTCCGCGCTGCGAGATGGGCTTCCCGGAACCCCAGTCTCTGTCGCTCTTTCTGCTGACCGCTAACACGGGGTGGGAATGGGGGGTCGCCTATCCTGGCTGCCCCCTGCGCGCCCAGGCCCTTCAGGGGCTGCGAACTGCTAGGTCCTGCCGCAGCGGCGCGGGGTGCACGAGCCCCGTCTGGCCGGGCACTCCAGAGCCTCGCTGAGGACTCCCGGTCTCTTCGCACCCCCTCCGAAGGCACTCGCAGCCAGATCTCCCCTCCCCTTCCTTTGGTCTTGTGAGAACGCAGTTATCCGGAGCCCTCCTGTCTCTCCGCCGTTTCTCCGCCCCCTGCTCCCACCGGGGTTCCCCTCTAACCAACACCTCGTGCTGAGCCGCACCTTCCAGGCTAGTTCTCACGGTGGATGCCTGGGTGAAGAAAGCATTTCCCTTTTTTCAACAAGAGAAGCACAAAATAAGTCAAATCCTTGGCTGGGCGTGGTGGCTCACGCCTGTAATCCAAGCACTTTGGAGGCCAAGGTGGGCGGATCCCCTGAGGTCGGGAGTTCAAGATCAGCCTGACCCAACATGGTGACACCCCTTATTTTAAATTAAAAAAAAAAAAAGGTAAATTCAAGATGTTATGGTTCAAATTTCAAATCTGCCGCTGAGTTCTATATTCAGCAAAATCCTATTATTATCTGTGTTTATTTTATGCGGTTTTGAGGATCCTGTTCAGTTCTACAAGTTTAATAAACACCCAGTATATGACTGGCACTATCCAAGAAGAGATGTCTTCTCTCCCTTCCTCTGTTCCTTCAATAAATATATTTTGCGTACCTGCTGTGAGCCAGACACTGTACTGCGTATTGGGGCTACCCGTGAGGAAGGCAGATGTAAGGTTCAAATGAGGCAAGTGAGGCCAGTTATTGAAATAAAGAAATTTTTTTTTTTTTTTTTTTTTTTGAGACGGAGTTTCGCTCTTGTTACCCAGGCTGGAGTGCAATGGCGCGATCTCGGCTCACCGAAACCTCCGCCTCCTGGGTTCAGGCAATTCTCCTGCCTCAGTCTCCTGAGTAGCTGGGATTACAGGCACGCGCCACCATGCCCAGCTAATTTTTTGTATTTTTAGTAGAGACGGGGTTTCACCATGTTGACCAGGATGGTCTCGATCTGTTGACCTCGTGATCCACCCGCCTCGGCCTCCCAAAGTGCTGGGATTACAGGCTTGAGCCACCGCGCCCGCCGGTTATATTCTTTTTTTTTTTTTTTTTTTTTAACAACCTCCCACGTTAAACATAGTTCTGTTTTTTCTTAACTTCCTGTTTCCTGGCAATAAACCTCCCTTTACTGACTCTTTTCTTTCTATTTTTTTCTTAAGATAGAGCCTTGCTCTGCTGCCCAGGCTGGAGTGCAGTGGCACGATCTCGGCTCACTGCAATCTCTGCCTTCCAAGTTCAAGCAATTCTCCTGCCTCAGTCTCCTGAGTAGCTGGGATTATAGGTGCCCACCACTATGCCCGGCTAATTTTTGTATTTTTAGTAGAGACAGGGTTTTGCCACGTTGGCCAAACTGGTCTCGAACTGCTGACCTCAGGTGATCCGCCTGCCTGGGCCTCTTGCAACTGACTCTTTTCTTATGTTGATCAAAATTAAGTTTCCCCTAGCGAGTACCCTGAGAGGCTAGGGCTCTGTGTAGGAAGGAACTATCCGGAAAAGGCGGTTCCTTCTAGAAAAGGCTGGGGGGTGGGAGCCACCTGGTGGCCGGAGCTGTGCAGACTACAGCTGTATAATGAGGCAAGAGCCTTTGGTTTAAAAAGGAACAGGCACAGACTCCTGTGGCTGGCGCAGTGGTTTTGCCGGCACCTTGGCGCGGCAGCTCTTGGTGCAGAGTAAACGGGACTGGTTCCCCTTCTGACCGAGGTTTGGAGCTCTGGGAAGGCAGAGTCGCCTATTAGGGACACAAGAAGGAAGCCAGACTGGAGATTCCCCGGGCAGAAAAGCACCATCAGTCTTAACGCCGCTGTTTTGGCCGGCGCAGGGGGTCGCTCATATTTCGGCCCTGGGAATTAACAACTTGGACGTCCACTCAGAGACCTAATTGGAAAGTTGGTAATTACAAAGATGACAGGTGGATAAATTTACAATGATGGGAAGAAACCAGCGTAAAAAGGCTGAGAATACTCAAAATCAGAATGCCTCTCCCTCTACAGGGCATCGCAGTTCCTCATCAACAAGGTAACAAGGCTTGATGGAGAACGAGCACATCCCATTAACAGAATCAGGCTTCAGAAGATGGATAATAAGAAACTTCTGTGAGTTAAAAGAACATGTTGTAGCCCAATGTAAAGAAACTAACAACTTTGAAAAAAGGTTTGACGAAATCCTAATGAGAATAGACAACTTAGAGAGGAATATAAGTGAATTAATGGAACTGAAGAATACAATACAGGAACTCCGAGAAGTATGCACTGGTTTAAACACTCGAATTGTTCAAGCAGAAGAAAGCATATCAGAGGTCGAAGTCCAACTTAATGAAATAAAACGAGAAGACAAGTACTCAGAGATTTTATTACCACCAGGCCTGCTTTACAAGAGCTTCTGAAAGAAGCATTACACATAGAAAGAAACAACCAGTATTGGCCTTTCTAAAAATAGACCAAAAAGTAAAGAGCATCAACATAAAGAAGAATTTACATCAACGAATGGATAAAACAGCCAGTTAACATCAAATGGCAGTAATTCTAAATTTCAGTTGACTAAATCCCCCAATCAAAAGATACAGCCAAAACTCAACAGTATGCTACATCCAGATCCATTTCACTCGCAAGGATACACAAAGACTCAAAACAAAGGGATGGAGAAAGATTAACCAACAAAATGGAGAGCAAAAATAAATAAATAAATAAAAAGCAGGAGCTGCAATTCTCGTATCTGATAAAATAGATTTTAAAGCAACAAAGATATAGTGGTAAAAGGATCACTGCAACAACAAGAGCTAACGATCCTAACACCCAGATACGAGACTTAGACTCAATGAGACAGAAAATTAATAAGGATATCAAGGACTCGAACTCAGATCTGGAACAAGTAAACTTAATAAATATTTATAGAGCTCTCCACTTCAAATACATAAAATATACATTCCTGTCAATACCACATCACACCTACTCATAGGTTTAAATGATATACTGATTGGCCATTATTAATACCCATTTTTTTAAGAATAAAGCAATATTTCCGTTCTCTCTCCCACTTTTTCTTCCTCTTACTCTACTTCACTCCTTGTTTTTCTTTCCTTCTCTCAAAAAAAAAAAAAAAAAAAAAGAAATCAACTTGTAGACCTCTAGATCCAGGTCGGCAATGTCTCTCTCATTGCCTGATTTCCTTCCTTCCCTTCTCTCCCTTCCTTTCTCTGTCCCTCCCTTCCTCCTTTCCTCCCTTCCTCCCTTCCTAAAATAAATAAATAAATAAATAAAAATAAAAAGGAACAGGCTGCAGAGCTGAAGTATTTGTCAAAGTAATAAAAACGTTTAAATGAGTCATTTGGTTTATAGCAACTCCTAGGAAACGCTTTTCTAAACAATTTAGTCTGTTGAGTGCATACAGTACTGGTTTCTGCTAGAGCATTGTTCACATAATTGAAAAACTTGCAACTTAGACTTGAGCAGCACTTCCCAAAGTGTGGTCTGTGGCCTTCAGGGGCACCACGAAGTCCCCCTTTTCAATTGCATCCCTGGGGGATCCTGGACTTTCTCCATCTACTTCAAACAAAACATACTGTGATAGGTCAAACGTGGAAGCAGAAATAAGAATTCTACCATCTGTGACTGGATGCAATGGCTCAGGCATATGATCCCAGCACTTTGGGAGGTCGAGGTGGGCAGATCACTCAAGATCAAGAGTTCAAGACCAGCCTGGCCAACATGGTGAAATACCATCTCTACTAAAATAAAAAAATGTACAAAAATACAAACAAATTAACTGAGCATGGTGGTGCACATCTGTTAATCCTAGCTACTCGGGAGGTTGAGGCAAGAGAATCGCATGAACACAGGAGGCAGAGGTCACAGTGAGCCCAGATCACACCACTGCACTCCAGCCTGGGTGACAGAGCAAAACAACGTCTCAAAAGAAAAAAAAAAAAAAATTCCATTATTGCTATTAAACTAGATATTCAAGAAATTTGCAAAATGTAAACCAATGCCGCTGATGCCACTAATTTTATTTTGGGAAATAGTTATTTTGCATAACACATGTTATTTCTGTTACCATGTAGTTGGTTCAAAATGATCATTTTTCCATTTATATTGTTTAATTTTCTCTATTTTAATTTTTAATATAGATAATTTTAATATATATGATCTTTAATATAATTTTTAATATGATAGATGCACTTCCTTTCTGTCCCGTCACTTCACACACATGAATTCGTCTGAGGTCCTTAATAATTTTTTCTTTTTTTAGTCAGATAATTCACATTATGGAATAACTGATGTGATAGAGCCTGGAATTTCTGAATTCCAAATAAATAAATTTCACTCTTTAAACATTTCATCTTTCACTTTTTAGCACCAACAGACTTGATAACAGCCTGATGCTGATCTGACAATGGGCTGACGACCTTCCCCCACTGGCCCTTCAGTCTGCTTAATAACAAGTCATTTGCTTCTGTCATTCTTCTAGGGGATGGCCTACTGCCCTCCTTTCTGTACAATCTGGGCAAACCGACTGATGATGGCAAGAGTGGTGTCAATGAAGCAGTCTACACAGCTGGAGAGATTTTCAGTGCGAGAATCGAGGCGATTCCCTGGCTTCTCCACACACTTATCCCAGCACAGTTCCATGAAATGATGCACCTGTGCAGTAAACTGCGCCCTCTGCTGTTGGGCAGCCACCAAGCGTTGCTTCATCGGCTTCACCCAGCTCCGCCATTGTCTGCCTCAGGCTCGGCACCGGTCCTTAATAATTTTTAAGAGTGTAAAGGGATCCTAAGCTCAAAAAGTTCTGGAACCATTGGACTAGAGCAATGTGTCATCAGGGCGTTCAAAACAGCACAGAATTTGGCATTCCTCTGGAGGAGTTACTGCGTGATGAATTGAATCGGGTTCATTTGCAGTCGTGTTTCCGTCAACCTCTGTATTGAAGGCCCAGTTAACTCTACTTACCTTGTTACTTGTGTAGACACCTCGTACATACCACTCCAAATCTTTGGACACCCTTAGACGCTTGCTCCACCCTGCTGTGTCCAGCTGTCTGTGACCAGCAGAGACCAGCTGTCTGTGGACCCTGCCAGCTCCACATGGCAGCCCAAATGGCACCCACCTCACAGGACCCTGGTCCCCCACACTTGAGAAACCCAAAGTAAGTTCAGAGAAATAGAAGCCCATGGGGCGAATCTTTGACCAATGAGCTTAGGAACAAGCAGATACGTTTTTTTTTTTTTCCTCTCCTGATTGACACAGTCAGTGCCGAGATCCAGGCCTCTCCAGAAACAGGCTGAGAAGCCCAATCAGTTGTGCTAGATGCTCAATGGTGACCAGCTCCTTAGCCCAAAACTCTAGAACTCTGTAAGTTAAGGTTATTCAGAGTTTACCATTTCACCACATTCTCAGCATCTACAAACTATAAACTCTTCAAAGAATAGTAGTAGCGTTTTCATGACATTTATTTTGTGTCTAATCTGACCCTAAGTCATGAGAATTAAAGGAGCAGTTTCTAAAATCTCAATCTCCTAAAAATGAAGCTTTAAGGCCAGGCACAGTGGCTCACGCCTGTGATCCCAGCACCTTGGGAGACTGGGGCAGGTGGAACAGGAGTCAGGAGATTGAGACTGAGGGAATGTGTTCTCTTTCTAGGTCCACAAGGGGGCTTAGTTTTGAAGGCAAGAACTTCCCAGCATGCCCCTCCCATGCCTCTCCATCCTGGAGATTTAAAGGTTTCTGTTTAATTTTCGCAGGCACAGGAAAAGATCACAAGTCAATCACTCCAGCTGAAGTTTAAAGGAACTCTTTTCATTGGCTGGGGCGGGGGGCGGGGTTGGAGAAGGTGGGAATTCCTCCCAGGTTAAAAGCCCTTGTCTCTCTCATCTGGGCGGATTTCCTCTCTGGAGTCCCCTTCCGCAGTCTCCTGGAAGCCTGTCTTTCCCTCCTAAACTCCATCTCTCTCTGTTCCCTTCCACTCAGTGTGGAAGCTGCTTTCCTCTCCTGGATTCCATCTTTCTGGATTCTCTCGCTCAGTGTGAGAGGAGCTTTCCTTCTCTGTTTTCCCCCTTTGGAAACCCTTCTCACTCAGTGTGAGAGCTAGCTGTTTCTTTCTTCTCCTGTTTCTCTCTTTACCTAAATACATCACTTTCTGCAAATAGGTTTTGGGTCCGGTATTTATGAGCACTTGGCCGTGGTCCCCTCTTTCATTCTTGAGAGAGCGAGGGACCAAGAGCCTGGAGCGCACTGGGGAGAAAGGTGAGCACTCCCCTACACCCCAAAACCTGCTAACAAGACAATTCTGGCCAACATAGTGAAACTCCATCTCTACTAAAAATACAAAAATTAGCTGGGTGTGGTGGCGCATGCCTGTAATCCCAGCTACTTAGGAGGCTGAGGCAGAAGAATTGCTTGAACCAGGGAGTTGGAGGTTGCAGTGAGCTGAGATCGCGCCACTGCACTCCAGCCTGGAGACAGAGTGAGACTCTGTCTCAAAAAAAAAAAAAAAAAAAAAAAGAAAATGAAGCTTTAGAGTTGTTTCTTAAAATAACATTATTTTCTATTACCCATTACCATTATTAAAAATGGTAATACTCTGATTCTAGAAAGGTACACTGAAATAGACACTTTCGTGTTGTTGATAAAAATTGTTATAACCCTTCTGGAACAATTTTTTGTATATTGTTTTGTTTTTGAGATGGAGTCTCCCTCTGTTGCACAGGCTGGAGTGCAGTGGTGAGATCTCTGCTCACTAAAACCTCTGCCTCCCTGGTTCAAGCAATTCTCCTGCCTCAACCTCCCAAGCAGCTGGAATTACAGGCACCTGCCACCATGCCTAGCTAAGTTTTTGGATTTTTAGTAGAGATGGGTTTCACCATGTTGATCAGGCTGGTCTTGAACTCCTGACCTCAAGCAATCCACCCACCTCCACCTCCCAAAGTACTGGGATTACAGGTGTGAGCCACCGCACCTGGCTGGAACACAATTTGGCAATAATTTTTACAGAAACAATTTAAAAATGGGACAAACATTTATGTACAAAAGTATTAAGCAGATCTAAAAGTAGTATTTTTTAAAGCAATTACATGTTCAATAATATGATGGTTACAAATATGACTCTATGTCATACTATCATATTTTATGTAACAAAAATTCCATATTCAAAAAGTTTTTAATAAAAAGCAAAATTATCACTATATAATGTTAAATAAAGGTGAAGGATACAAACTATGATCTCAATTTTTTTTTGAGATGGACTTTGCTCTTATTGCCCATGCTAAAGGGCAGTGGTGTAATCTCGGCTCACCGTTGCCTCTGCTTCCTGTGTTCAAGCAATTCTCCTCCCTCAGCCTCCCAAGTAGCTGGAATTACAGGCATGTGCCACCATGCCCGAACTAATTTTGTATTTTTAGTAGAGACAAGGTTTCACCATTGGTTAGGTTGGTCTCGAACTCCCAACTTTAGGTGATCTGCCCGCCTCAGCCTCCCAAAATGCTGAGGTTACAGGCGTGAACCACCACACCTGGCGATCACAATTTTTTGTAGCAAGAAAAAGAAAAAAAATACATATAACAAACATTTTACATACAGCAAAGTGTTAAAAAAAAATGGTAGCCTCTTCTAGGTGGTACAATTGTGGGTGGTTTTTTTCTTCCTGCTTTTAAATATCTTCTGTATATTTCCAAATTTTCTACAGTGAAAGTGTTATATTTTACATCATGATTATAAGAAATTATAAATGGTGAGGAGCTAGGATTTCCAAGGTCTCTTGCAGCTCTTAAATTCCTTAATTTACAGTATGCTTTTATCACTAGGGTTTGTTTTTTTGACTTTCCACTGATAATGACAGAAGAGTATATTACACGTTTCCTAATAGCAATGTTACGGCATGTCATTGCCTGAGATTCCTAAATCTTGTGCCGGATTTCAACATTATCTGTAGAATTTAAGTGCAAGATGATGATCTTTTATGAAGTTCTTGAGTGTTGCCAGCAGACTGAATGATAAGATGAAATGCAGAAAGAGGATGATAGTCTTACTTGTAAATGGGCATTTCTACATTTATACTAGTATAACACATTAGTGCTTCACCATTCAAGAGACATTTAAATTCTACTACATTATAATAACACTCTTAACAGTTTCCCTTTTTTTTTTTTTTAAGAGGCGGGGTTTCACCTTGTTGGCCAGGATGATCTTGATCTCTTGACCTCCTGCTGGGATTACAGGCGTGAACCACCACGCCTGACCTAACAGTTTCCTTAAGACAAGGAGATAAGCCCAGTTATTGCTAAGCAAGAATCTGCTCAAATAGTAAACAAACAGGTATAAATGAGTGTGTCTTTGAGTGTGTGAGCACGTGCCTGTCAATCCCAATTTTTTTCCCTTTGTTCCCAGCTGCAGAGAAGGTAAAAAGAAATAGAGAATGGGGAGTCTCAGCTCCTGGCCTCCAGCCTGCTCAAGCAAAGGGGTAGGAGGTCATCCCCTAGCTTGCCAGGGATCTTTCTGGGATTTATCTGGCCCTGGGTCATGTGCCCTAGTTGCCCTGTGACAGATCTGTCTCCCAGGCAGGCGGCAGATCAGGCGCTCCTGTCTTTGAGCCGCTGTGGAGGGTACTAGTGGGCGGCTCCTCAGAGGGGCTCTTGCTGACATCGAAGCTGGACAGTCAGCCCCCGGCGGGCCCCAGATTCAAAGACCCCCTCTGCCCCCCATCCTCGACTATCGCCCTTCACAGTGGTCTCACTCTTTCCTTCTTAATCAAGGATGTGGGGCCCCTTTTGGGACAAGCATCCTGGATTAGGACCCAGGCTTTTGTTGAACCAATCCAAGGATTGCTGATTCATCTCCTTCTGTCCCATATGCTTAAATTCCCCCATGAGAAAGTCCCCTTTGCTTCTTCTTTCGGAACTAACCTTTAGATAACTCCTTAAAACCAGAACCCAAATCTTAGCACTCTCACCTGCTCCCCGCAAGGGGTTCCTCTCTCCTGCTGAGCAAGGATGGCTTGGTGGGTGGGGGTGGTGGGTGAGGGGGGTGAGGGGGTGCCCCTTGCTTTATGGTGGGTTGTTACTTCTCATGCAGGGAAAAATAAAAACGTTTGTGTTTTCATGTAAAAGCAAGTTGAACAGTCATCTATAAGAGAATCCTGGAGCCCCTGAAACCCAACTTTGTGCAGAAATACAGTGTGTGGATTTATGAACATGCACACAATGTGAAAAGTCCCTAATGGATGTGTATAAAAATTAGATTTTTTTTTTAGATGGAGTCTCACTCTGTCTCCCAGGCTGGAGTGCAGTGGTGGGATCTCTGCTCACCACAACCTTTGCCTCCCAGGTTCAAGAGATTATCCTGCCTCAGCCTCCAGAGTAGCTGGGATTACAGGCATGCACCAACCACTACCAGCTAATTTTTGTATTTTTAGTAGAGATGGGGTTTCACCATGTTGATCAGGCTGTTCTCAAATTCATGATCTGCCTGCCTCAGCCTCCCAAAGTACTGGGATTATAGGCATGAGCTACTGCACCTGGCCAAAAATTAGGTTTTTTTTTTTTCTTTGAGACAGTCTAGCTCTATCACCCAGGCTGGAGTGCAGTGGCACAATCTTGGCTCACTGCAACCTTCACCTCCCAGGTTCAAGTGATTCTCCCGTCTCAGCCTCCTGAGTAGCTGGGAATACAGGTGCGCCAGCATGTTAGGCTAATTTTTGTATTTTTAGTAGAGACCGGGTTTCAC